ACTGTCTTTTGGACCTTGAACCGTTTGGTCCCCATTGAAGTCCATTATATGGAGAAAATCCTGGAATGTTTTCATCAAAAACCTTAATTTCTTTTCGACTGAAGAAAGAAAGACATGGACATCTTGGATGACACGGGGGCGAGGAAATTATCAGCAAAAGTTTTTTAAAAGTGAACTACTCCTTTAAGAATGTGAGGAATTTATTTATTGATCAAATCTAGAGATTTAAAGGTAAATAATAAATAATAAAAACGGCAAACCCTTCTCGTTGAACGGCGTGTGCCAGGCGAGCAGGAAGTTGTTGGGCTTGAGGTTTGCGCATCCCTGAACGGTGCTGGGCCCCGGGGCCCGACCCTGCAGACACACCATGGCCTCCACATAGAGCCGCACCAGCTCCCGGTACAGGTCCTCCAGACACCAGTAATCTGACCACACACACACACACACACACACACACACACACATGAGCAAATCCCACGGCTGCTGGAGCACGACTGGCATCCGCAGCGGTAGTCATGTGTCAGGACTAGTTTAGCCGTGATTAACCGCAGCTGATTACAGCGTGTGTGTGTGTGTGTGTGTGTGTGGATGGAAGGCATTCGAGCACATTAGGGCTCCTCAGGGACCGCGACAGCAATCAGATGAAGGCCACACACACACACACACACACACACACACACACTCTCCTGTCTGCATGAACTGAAGCTCAATTAGCCACTGATTAACTTCTGCAGACTCGGCATTATCGATGCATGACACTGACAGTGTTGTGTAACACATCACCAGTAACTCGAGTAATGTAATCAGATTACTATTTCAAGTAACTAGTGGAGTAACGCATTACTTTTCAATTTACAACAAAATATCAGAGTTACTTTTTCAAAATAAGTTACTTTGCTTTCCCAGGACTGACCGCTGTCCTCGAGCTGAGAGAAACCGTGTGTGTGTGTGTGTGTGTGTGTGTGTGAACATGATGGTTAGTGTAGGCCTAGACTGAATGTGAGCACTGATTAATCTTATTTGCACAAAAAAGTTTCAGTATTCCTCAAAATGAATAAAGTCAGTGAAATGCAAAATCAGAAAACTAAGCAAACCTCCAATAATTAATGTTAAATAAAACAAATATTTTGCAATTATGCATTTTCTTCAGTTCTGCGCGTTACACTCCTACATTTCCTTCAACCTTTTTATTTCAATTTTGGTGTTTCAAAATTACTTTTTTGTTATATATTTAAAAAAACGCCCAGCCCAAATGAGTAACGCAAAAGTAACGTAACGCATTCGTTTTCTTAAAAAGTAACTAAGTAACGCAATTAGTAACTTTAACCGTCTCCCCTTATAGACGTGACAATCACAATCCACACTTAAATGGTTGTAGTTTAAGAATGTATGATGTAAAACTATAATTATATATATTGTTGTCAGTGTTGGGTGTAACTAATTACTAAGTAATTAGTTACTGTAATTTAATTACTTTTCCCTTGAAAATGTAAAGTAAGGGATTACTCTTCATTTATCTGTAATTTACAGTTACTTTGATGTAATTGAGGTAAATACTGTGTATAGATCAATCCGATCTCACAGCGATTCATATGCATTTTATGAGGTGTATAAATGGCACTCGTACAAATTCGTATGAATTATTGTAAAATATGTATGAAAAAAGTGTGAAATGTCATGAGATCAGACAAAAAAATAGTGGGTTTAACATCAAAATGTATCGTCTGATGTTAAAAAGTATGTTTTTATAATGTTACCTTCTCCACCTTGGTCAGTTTAAGGATAATTCATGCATATTTATAGTATTTATTTGAAAGAATTAAAACAGATGTATATCCTTGTATTATTCAGCTGGTTGAGATTGATGTGGGATTTTGAAAGTAATTAGTAATTAAAAAGTAATTAAATACTTTTTAGAGAGAGTAATTAGTATAGTAATCTAATTACATTGTTGAAGAGGTAATTATTAACTAGTAATTAATTACTTTTTTAGAGTAACTTACCCAACACTGATTGTTGTTATCTTTTGAACTCATGAAAACAAACTGAGGTTTCTACCAATATCTTTCATAATTTTTCATGTGCTATCTCAAAATAAAGGCCTAAACACGCATAATGAATATTACGTAAATGACTGCTCTTCTGTAATCTATTTGAGAAACAGCCACCAATTATGAAGATTGTAAGCTTTCAAATGATACATAGTAAATCAATATTACTTTAGGTTTTTACTAAGATATTATTGTTTGATAATGGCCACCAGGATTGAACCCAGTATTCATTGTCACGCATTAGTTTTCAGAGCGACTGTGATATATGACGGGCTGTTCTCTGGGTTAATCTCAGAACATTCTGGCAAAGTTATGAATAAACAAACGCTAATAGACTGTTTTTGTGAAAGGGTTATTTCGGACCTCAGCTCCCGGTGGATCTTCAGTCCTGTCCCGGGGATTAAAGCGAGTCACGGATGGCCAGCTCTATTCTGGGTCTGTTATCAGGTGTGTGTGTGTGTGTGTGTGTGTGTGTGTAAGTGAGTCATGCAGAGGAAAGATCGCTGTATTATAATCAATCCGCATTTCAGAGGGATTCCACATGCATTCATCCCTATTCTGAGAGAGAGAGAGAGAGAGAGAGAGAGAGAGAGAGAGAGAGAGAGATTACACACGGCACATTTATAGACTTTTCTCACTGACGAGGGAAAAAACTTCAGGTCTCATTAGTTAATAATGCAATAACGAACAATCAACAATAATTTAAAGCATGTGTGTCAGAAACACAGTTATTGTTTGTTCATGGTAGTTCACAGTGCATTAAATAACTTTTCATATTAGTATATATGTGAAGATTAACTTTAGTTTTGTTCATTGTTAGTTCACGTTAACTTGATTTAACAAATGAAAGTTTTCCTAGAATTTATTCTCTTAGTAATTAGTGACACGGATCATAAGTTTTCATAAAGAGTGTCCTCTGCTCTCCAAGACTGCGTTTACATGATCAACAATACAGAAAGAACAGGAATATTGTGAAATATTGTTCTCTATGTCAATATATAGTAAAGTGTAATTTATTCCTGTGATTTATCATCATTACTCCAGTCTTCAGTGTCACATGACCCTTCAGAAATCACTCTAATATGAGGATCTGACACATTTATAATTATTATCAGATTATATGAAGAGTTCAGATGCAAAAACCTCTAAATGCCATTTGAAATTTTCTTCTTTAATGATGATTTTTATCAATCTTGTATATTTAAGTTCAGTAATTTCACTTAAATAACAATTAATAGGTAATTATCATTGCCATTTAAGTGAAATTACTGAACTTAAATATACAAGCTTGATAAAAATCATCATTCTAGAAGAAAATTTCAAATGGCACTTAGAGGCTTTTGCATCTGAACTCTTCATATTATTATTTTATTTCACGATTGTTTGATAAATAGAAAGCTCAAAAGAACAGCATTTATGTGGAACAGAATCTCCCGTAACATTATAAATGTCACTTTTGATCGATGTAATGTATCTTTGCTGAATAGGATTGTTTCTGCATGTGTGTGTGTGTGTGTGTGTGTCCCACCGGTCACCAGGGCCTCGGCTGTGGTCATGTGCATCAGGAGCCCGTCGCTGAAGGGCCATGTGTCCGGCTCCAGCCGCAGCGTCTCCAGACCCCCGAGGGCCGCCACCTCCTGCTGGATCCGCGACCCCGACCCACACGCCTCCCAGCGCCGGCCCAGCGCGTCCCCCACCGCCCCCAGAACCATGGCGGCCCGGAACCGGTCCATGAGCATCCAATCAAGCTGGAGAACTGGATAGGACCTTGCTCCCGCCGAGCTGACAGTGTGTGTGTGTGTGTGTGAGAGAGAGAGTGAGTGAGAGAGATGTGTGTGTGTGTGTGAGGTTCATCATCTGAACTCGCTCCGGACTTTATCAGCGGCTCTGAGCTGAGATCAGGGTCTCCTAAAAAGGCAAGAGCTTCAGTCCCACACACACACACACACACACACACACACACACACACATGCCAGAGACTCCGATCTCAAACACTTCACTCTCTCTGCTCCTGCTCTTATCATCACAGACGGTTATTCTCATCAGAATGAAATTAGTTGCTCTGCCTTTTCTTTCCGACTCCGGTTAGTAACACACACTTCTCTACTAACACACTCCGGTTAGTAACACACACTTCTCTACTAACACACTCCGGTTAGTAACACACACTTCTCTACTAACACACTCCGGTTAGTAACACACACTTCTCTACTAACACACGCCGGTTAGTAACACACACTTCTCTACTAACACACTCCGGTTAGTAACACACACTTCTGGCAGATCAGTCTTCGGTTGAGATGCTCAAGAGTTATTGTGTGTCTGAAAGTCTCTTCTGCTCACCAAGCCTGCATTTATTTAATTAAAAACACAGTAAAAATAGTGAAATATTATTCTAATGTAAATCATCTGTTCTCTGTGTGAATATACAGTAAAGTGTAATTTATATCCTGTGATCAAAGCTGAATTTATCATCATTACTCCAGTCTTCAGTGTCACATGACCCTTCACAAATCACTCTAATATGAGGATCTGATGCTCAGGACAGTTATGATTATTATCAGAGTTGAACAGTTTTGCTGCTTCTGATTTTTTGGGAATGTGTGATAACCTGCCGTTCAAGTTTGATAAAAAACGCATTAAATTGATAAAAAAAATTACATTTATGTTACAAAAGATTCTATTTCAAATTTCAAACCGTCTATTCATCAAATAATTCTAAAATTAAAAAATCTTCCCCTAAAAATATGAAGCAGCGAAAGCACGGTTTTTGTTTTTTGAGCATCAGATCCTCATATTGAGTGATTTCTGAATGTATTTCTGTAATAATTCTTTCAGAAACGTTCAGCCTGAAGGTTATTGTGGGTTGATGATGATGATGATGAAGAGTAATTGGAGATTCAACAGATTTAAGCCAAAGCATGAATATAAAATTAAAGATAATGTGACGAGTTTTGTTAAATAATCTTTATTTACATGCAGAGAAACAGTGTGTGATGAGATGAACTGAATGACACACACACACACACACACACACACAGACACACACACACAGAGCTGAGGAACTGGTCCAGACGAACACTGAGGTGTGTGTGTGTGTGTGTGTGTGTGTGTGCTGATTTAATATCACAGACGCTTGTAAACAGGAACAGGATCTCATCGGTGTTGGTCCGTGTGATTCCTCGGCGCCCGTCACGTCACTCTCTGAGACTCTGGGGTCAGAAGGTCACAGCGCTCCAATGATCACGCACACGTCACGTGACTAAACTCCAGGTATGGACGCTCACACTCCGCATAAAACAACATCATTAAACGTCTCACAATTCTGACCGCTTTTTACTTCCTTTTCGCAATTGTAAGAAAAAGTCTGAATTACAGCGGAAAAACCTCGCGAACCCAGAGGAAGTCACATCGGCAATAAACTCGCGATTGTGGAAAAAAACGTCCGATTTGCACAAAATAAACTCACAATAAAAAAAAGCCTGGATTGCACGACATGAATGTGATTGTGAGATAAAAAACTAACATATTCCACGGTGAGCTATTTTAGTATTCTGTGGTGTAGCCACGCCCCTGTGTGTGGTGCATCATGGGATGTGCAGTTGCCACACTGGTGTCGGAGTGCGGACAGGGTCCAGGTGCAGTGTGACAGCTCTCTCTGCGGTTAAAGAGATATATATATATATGTAAATCCGTTCGTGGTCAAAGAGTCCGTGTGAGAGGCTCCGCCCCCCTGAAGCGCTCATTATAGAGTCAGGTGACCCTGTGATGTCACGATCGGCCGCGCGAACTCCACGAAGTCATCGATGAGCACCGGCCACGCTCCTGAAACCAACACACTCCGCATTAGGTCAGCAGTCGCACACCGAACACACACACACACACACACACACACACACACAAACGGACGGCTCAATAACAGGGTACACACACACACACTGTCAGTGTAATTCCAGGACTTTAAGCTCTACTTCTACAATCAGAGATCTCACCTATCAAACAATATCTTTATTATCTTCCAACTTCTGAAAAGGGTAAATATAAATAAACGTGTTGTTCCTATAACTGTGAGCAGTTCATCAGTGCTTATTATTATAACAAGAATATAAAATATAGAGACGTTTAAAAATCGCTGCTTAAAAACTCAAGCATGAAAACGGCAGAAGCTGTGTGTGTGTGTGTGTGTCGGGTCTCGGCTCACCCTCCTCGTCGTAGTTGGACATGTCGTCGGCGATCACGTTCCCGAAGTCCAGCAGCAGATTCCACGTGTCTTTAGAGATCGGCTTCTTATGATGCTCCTGTACACACACACACACACACACACACAACCTCATCAACACACACACACACAGCACCACTGACACACACACACCCTCGCAGCGATCATCACATCCAGAATACAAGTGTGTATTTACATAATAATGTGTGTGTGCTGTGTGTAATTATTATATTATACATGCATTTTAGAAAAACATTATATATAAAAATATATACATGCAATATAAGTACACACACACAGATATATTATGTAACTGACGGTCGCCGCTCTGACTGATGGGCTGGTGTGGTTCAGTCTGCAGTGGAGGTCCGTTATGTTTAATTACATAAGTTGATATCTGGATTATAGTCATGTGACGCACCAGGAGGAACGTGTTCCAGAGCTGGAGGAACTTGAAGCGTCCGGTGAGAACGAGGTTCCAGTAGGCCAGCGCCATCTCCAGATCTGAGACAGAGAGGATCATGGGTCACCGCACGGGTCATCACACACAGACGTTCACTAGGCCGGCCACTCACCTAAAGCCTTCTGACCCGGGCTCTTGGCGAAGGTGAACGTGAACTGATAGAAGTCCCTGAACTTCCCAGAATCCTTCAGCTCCTGCTCTAGTCTGGGCAGAAGACTCCTCAGCTTCTCGGGACTGTCACATCTACACAAACGAGCACTTAAGAGTCAGCATCTGCACACTAATTAAGATGTTTCTGATTAAATCTGAGAGCTGGATCACTCCTCCATAGGCTTCTGTGGCCCAGAAAGTTATTAAAGACATCGTTAAAATAGTCAGTGGTTCAATTTTAAGTTTATCAAGCGACAAGAATTTCTGTGCGTAAAAAAAAAAAGATCGTAGACTCACTATTGGCCAGCATCACCACCAATAGTGAGCCTGCGTTCGTACAACACAGAAGCACTGTTTCCCTACGCGAACTCACTCAGGCCACACAGAAGAACATGAAGAGTTGAATAAAGTCGTTATTTTTGTGTGTTTTTGCGCACAGAAAGTATTCTCGTCGCGGGATAAACGTAAAGTTGAGTCACTCGGACTATTTTAACGATGTCTTTACTAACTTTCTGGGTCGGTTTGAACATAAAAGGCTAAAAGTTTTTGAAATTTTCAATAAGCTCTTTAAGCTCCGCCCCCTGTGCCAGGAGCAGCTCATTTGCATTTAAAGGGACACACAAAACGGTGTGTTTTTGCTCATCCTCAAAAAATGACAATTTTAACATGATGTATAACAATATCTGTGGGGTATTTAACATCTTGTGAAAATGGGATTATACCACCCCTTTAATTTTGCGTGAAAAGATTATATTTGTGTTTTATTGGAAAAATTAAACGCTGATCTCATATTTTGTCTTGCAATAATTCACCTTTTAATAAATGTTTTTATTCTAGGATTTCAAAAAGCCAAACTCAAGCACCTTTGAAACGACATAAAGCCAGAATTGCGAGAGAAAGATGCAGTGCTTGTTTGTGTACGGATAAAGCTGAGCGTCTCACCCCAGATCCGACATGCCGTCCAGGAACTCTTCGCGACTGAACTCGCACTGCGTCGCCGCTCTGAACTTCCACGCTACGATTAGCACACCGACGCTAGCGGGATCCAGAACCAGGTCGTCGCAGAACTGCTGGATTCCCTCGAGTCCGATCTTGTTCTCGTCGTGAGGATCTGCACACAGAAGCAGACCAGCAGCACAAATGAAGAAACACACACACACACACACACACGGCGGCTCACCTTTATAGCGGTTGTAGAGCTGGTCCAGCTTCTTGCGGTCCATGGGCTCCCGGTGGTTCTGGATGTGGTTGCTCGCGGTCGTGTCCCGTCTCCAGTCATTGTGGGTCAGGCAGAACAGAGCGGTTCTCTCCGCGGCCCGGGTGAAGGACATGACCTGGCGGATCTTCTCCTTCTGGGTCGACTTCAGCTTATGCTGGAAGAGCAACAACACCGTTAGCCTTGAAAACTCATAATACAGAATTATTCATCGCTTCTGCGTATCCATGCGAACTGGAATCATTTCGACAACGTTTATCAGTACAGAGCTGAAGAGGAGGAGGCCTGCAGAAGCATTAGTTACAGTAAACAGGGCTAGTCCGGCAAGTCCATCACCAGTATGTGGAATTTCAGTACGACTCGACAACTTCACAAGCCATGCAAAATACATTTATGCCAGAATACCAATTACTAGGATAAAATAATTCATATCCCATGATGCCACGCGAGAGGATATTTTTTTTTTTTTTTTTTTATTATTATTATTATTTATTTTTTTTACGCGAGAGGATTTGAATGACACTGAAGCGACGCAACTGACGCTGGTAGGTCACGTGACAGTAAATTTAATTAGCATTACCCATATTCATCTTTGAAAACATCCCTAACAATTATGTAAATTGTGATTTTCCCTTCTTCTATCAATGTATTCCCACATGTTCCTTATTCGGTATTATATATTTTAATACTGAATTTAAAGAAACATGCTTTTTAACGGTCGTGAAGTTCAAATTAAAACGTATTAACGTTAAGTACACGATTTCGCCCACAGAGATAAGTTAGACTTTTTCTTATAATTGCTTGAAATAAGTAGGAATAGTGAGATAAAAAGTCGGAATTACCGTTTTTTAATTGTATTTATTGTGGTGGCTGAGTTAAACTTCGATAAAGGGTAACTTAACTGACATCCCTTGGAATTATGATCGTTTAAACACATTTTAGCTGACGCTTTTATCCAAAGCGACTTACAATTGATAATTAAACATAAGTAACATAATAATTAAACATAAGTATGTACGAATCTCCTGAACTAAACGTTAATCTTGGCTTTATCATAAATCAGTGATGTTACCATGGTACAGTGCTACTATAATATTTTTTACCACATTAATATAATCGTGATATTAACAGTGCATTATTACCATGATACATGTAGGATTGAGTTTATGAAGAGATCTACGAGTGTCGGAACCGCGAGCAGAAGGGCGATCAGTTCCGGTGACCCGCTTTGATTCGGATCTCGCAAAACACCCTCCGTCCGTTTCCCTCATAAACTGACGCGCGGGAACAGCGTGAGAATAAGCGCAGAACGGGCGTCAAACATTACAGATAAACACAAACACTGCCCCCTGCGCGCTCACCTACCATCCTCATCTCCAGCCGAGCTGCCTGTGCGCATGCGCGGAAACCAGCTGGCGCTCGGGGAACTCTGGGAAATGTAGTTTTTACACCTGTGCTGCTCTTGAAAACTCAAGCTATCTGAACTACTTTGCAGAATGTCTACCCTTGCAAAAACAAAGCATTGATGTTAGCAAGCATTTAGAAGTTATTAATTATGGGTTATTTGTACAAAAGTTTGAAAATAGTACGTGGCAAAAGCAGCTAAACCTGTAAGTTTTCTAGTTTTTTTTTGGCTGACTCAGATATTAGTCATTAGCTGCATTTCTATGGAAAGAAATTTCTGCCATATAGCTAGGGGAAGATGTGCTTTTGTAAATCATTTATAACTTACCAGGTAACAATTATGATATAAAAAGTCGAAATTATGACATACAAAAGACAAAATGATGACTTAAAAAGACATGTCACTAAAAGTCGAAATGACAATAAAATTATTTTTGACTTCATAGTTCCAATTTGTATCTTAATGTAGAATGTAATAGTTTTAACTTTATCTCTTATTTATGTCTTATTTTTGTCATGCGCGGTGCGGAAGGAAAACTACATCCCCCAGAATTCCACGCGCTGTTGTGATTCAGTTCTGTTTTCAGCGCTACTGACATGAAACACCGCTGAAAAACAAATCTCGACGGAACTGACAGCACTCAAAAGCGCTTAATGTCCGTAAATCTTCAGCGAACTCTCGGTGAGGTGTAGTCTGGTGTGAGCTGCTCTACTCTCTCTCGCTCTTTCTCTCCGGTAAGTCGTTTACCTGCTCCGGGAACCGAGCGAGCGCGGATTTTACCGTTCCGTCACCGGGTGTCCGTGCGCGAGCCGCGCGCCGCTGCTGTCCGGTGAGGTGCGCGCGCAGCATGTGGCGTCACAAGAGCGCGATTGTTTCCTCCGTTTACTGCCGAGTTCTTGCCGTTCTTGAACTGAACTGCATCACAGACACCAGGTATGAGTTACTTCTCTCTTTCTGTTTATTAGCGCTGATATGTTATCTTGCAGGAGAATGGCATGCAGAAAATATTCTTGACGCGGATGACTGACAACCCTCAAGGTTACCTGAGGCTGAATAAATAATAATTTTAACATTAACGCGTTTGATGGACAGATCAAATCACCCGCATAACGCTGAATATTATACAGTGATTTATAGCCACGCTCAGTCAGTTGACATTGATCAGTTATTTAGTTAATTGATTTTTAAACATCAGCAACGTCATTATCGCGGTGTGTCTGGAATTACCCGTGTTATTATTATTATTATTATTATCATAGTTTGCTAAACTAAAACCATAATAAAAAACGTTAGTGACCTGAAAAAAACAAAACAAAACCTGGTGCTAAAATAAAATAAAACTTAAACGTATTTTATTTCAGTTAGTTGCCAAGGCAATTATTCCCCGCTTTGATGTACTAAAATAACTGAAATTTAAAAATGCAAACAATTTATTGATTAAATGAATAAAAAAAACTATATATTTTTTAACTAAAACAAATTACTAAAGTTAAAATGGAAAATCTAAAAATAAAAACTAATTAAATATTTTAAGAAAGACTATAAAAGTATCTGAACGATACGATACGTTTTAGGAAACAAACCCAACCATTACATCATACTCTTTTTGATTTATTTATTATTTTTGGCGGAAGCTCCTCCCACTCCTGCATATTCCACTGTTAACAGCCTAAAGAGCTCGACCATTTAAAGCGACAGGCGACAAAGTGTGGACCATACACAGTAACTATAATGTGGACGCTGATACATTAATCGCACGGTCTTTAAATTATGTGCTTCTGTTTCTATAGACTTGAAAGAGTATAATAAAGTTCATATTTTAAGTAAGCCTCTCATTCATTTCCCAACAGAAAACTTGTACATCAAAATAGGTGCGTGTCATTGTGTGAGAAATCCACCCTGTTGTGCGACATTCCTTTATTGACATGTCAATAATATTCTCTGCTGATGTGAACTTTGTGTTTGTCTGATTCCACACTGATTCAGGGATGAAACGCTGAGGAAAATGAGCCGTAACTCTGCAGGATGTAGGTGTGCTGGGTCGGTAAACACACTTCAGGGTTGTTTGTCTAGTTAGTGACACACCTTCACAACTCTTTAGTGTTCATGTCAGGTGAGTACTTGAGTTTTATTTCTAAAGAATCTTCAGTCATGTTTAACACATTTACTCTTTATTTACTGTCTTACTGTGAGTTTATTGAGGGATTTACAGTAAATGTGTTTCTATTGTAGTTTATGTGCAGGACTTCTGATTGGATAAAACAGTTGTAGTTCCACCTCAGTTGAACCAGACGTTGTTTGTCCAACTTTATTTCCTCACAAGTTACTTGAGTTTATAAAGGGATTTTATTCAGTAAGGGAAGATTATCGTCAATTAACACAATAATGATGTGCACCGATAAATCGTTTAGAATAAACACTGCAATATTCATAAAAAACAAATAAGAACACTTAATTACTTTGAACAATGATTGAATTTCTACATTTTTTTTTCCTTTTTCTTTTTTTTTATGGTTATTATTTCTTACATTTGTGTGTATGTGTTATTGGTGGATGTTGTGGAAATTATCCAGTGGGTTGGTATGTGTGAGTGAATAGATGCTGGTTTATATGTGTTGTATGGTTTAGATATTACTTAAAGGGATAGTTCACCCAAAGACGGAAATTAGCCCATGATTTACTCACCCTAAAGTCATCCTAGGTGTGTATGACATTCTTCTTTAAGACGAACACAATCAGAGTTATATAAAAAATCTCCTGGCTCTTCCAAGCTCTATAATGGCAGTGAATGGATGTATATTTTTTGAAGTCCATAAAAGTGCATCTGTCCATCATAAAAGTGCATCTGTCCATCATAAAAGTGCATCTGTCCATCATAAAAGTGATTCTATCCATCATAAAAGTGCATCTATTCATCATAAAAGTGCATCTATCCATCATAAAAGTGCATCTGTCCATCATAAAAGTGCATCTGTCCATCATAAAAGTGATTCTATCCATCATAAAAGTGCGTCTGTCCATCATAAAAGTGCGTCTGTCCATCATAAAAGTGCATCTATCATCATAAAAATGCATCTATCCATCATAAAAGTGCGTCTGTTCATCATAAAAGTGCATCTATCATCATAAAAGTGCGTCTGTCCATCATAAAAGTGCGTCTGTCCATCATAAAAGTGCATCTATCATCATAAAAGTGCATCTATCCATCATAAAAGTGCGTCTGTTCATCATAAAAGTGCATCTATCATCATAAAAGTGCATCTATCATCATAAAAGTGCATCTGTCCATCATAAAAGTGCATCTATCCATCATAAAAGTGCATCTATTCATCATAAAAGTGGTTCTATCATCATAAAAGTGCATCTGTCCATCATAAAAGTGCATCTATCCATCATAAAAGTGCATCTATTCATCATAAAAGTGGTTCTATCATCATAAAAGTGCATCTGTCCATCATAAAAGTGCATCTATCATCATAAAAGTGCATCTGTCCATCATAAAAGTGCATCTATTCATCATAAAAGTGCATCTATTCATCATAAAAGTGGTTCTATCATCATAAAAGTGCATCTGTCCATCATAAAAGTGCATCTATCATCATAAAAGTGCATCTATCCATCATAAAAGTGGTTCTATCATCATAAAAGTGCATCTGTCCATCATAAAAGTGCATCTATCCATCATAAAAGTGGTTCTATCATCATAAAAGTGCATCTATCCATCATAAAAGTGATTCTATCCATGCATTTTTTTTTTCAGTTTTGATTTCACGGTGACTGTAATAACCCTGCGATGATGTGATTCCAGTGTGCCGGATGCGAGGCGTGTGTGCAGTGCTGTGCTTCGCCCTGGTGGTGGCGCTGCAGGCTCAGCATGGCCACCGAGCGCAGGTGTACGGACACCCGTGGGTGACGGAGAACTGCCGGCGGCTCTCAACGCTCCTCAGACACAAGCACGCGGCCGTGCGTAAGCTGGGCTCTGCGGCGCTGGTTCTGGAGCGGGACGGGTCGCTGGCGCCGAACGAGAAGCTGTTCCGCATCCACACGCTCGAGGTGTTCCAGCGCGAGCTCAACGAGAGCGAACGCTCCCTCTTCCAGGCCGTGGAGGGCCTCCAGCGGGTGCTCACGGGGAACCTCCGAGACATCGTCAACATGAGGGACAGCAGCCGGCAGCGGCTCCAGGCGCTCAGAGAAGCCGCCATCAAGGTCAGACACACTTGAGTTTCTTCCACGTCACAATATTCCTCATTTAAAGGAGTAGTTCACTTAAAAAAGAAAATTAGCCCATGATTTACTCTCCCTCAAGTCATCCTAGGTGTTTAATACTTTCTTCTTTCAGACGAATACAATCGTACAATCGAGTTATATTAATAAACAGCCTGAAGTCGTATTGAAATTGGTGATTTTTAACTTGTAATGGAGTCATTTTCGCTGTAAGGTATCTGCACTTTTACTCAAGCGTGGGTCTCAGGTACTCTTTGCCCGTGTGTGTTTGCAGGAGGAGCAGGAGTACATGGAGCTGGTGGCAGCGGAGAAACACCAGCAGGAGGCGCTGAAAATGGCACAAGACCGAAACAAAACCCTGTCCATGCTGGAGGAGATCCTGGAGGACGTGAGGAAAGCTGCGGACCGGCTGGAGGAGGACATCGAGGAGCACGCCTTCGACAACAACAAACAGGTGTGCAGAGTGCAAACACAGACGCGGAAAGAGAGTCACATGATGCAGCAGAGCAAAGGCTCACACACACATGTATGGGGATGAGTATTAAAGGTGACATAATACCCCCCTTTTCACCAGATGTAATATAAATCTATGGTGTCCCCAGAATGTGTGTGTGAAATATCAGCTCAAAATACCAGATCATTTATTACAGCTCGTCAAATTTTCCCCTTTTTTGGGTGTGTGCAAAAACACACCATTTTTGTGTGTCCCTTTAAATGCAAATGAGTTTTA